AAAAATGCGGAAGTGCTAGAACGGAAGTCCGTGGCATATAGTCTATTCACCTTAAAAACGTTTCCTGCGTTAAAGGAAACGCTGAAATGATTCTGCTGTGACAGAAAAGAGACGGAGGCGGCAGCTCTTCAGAACAGAATTCTTTATTGAATGAAGCGAAATAACGAAGACGACTTCAGTCCCCGTTTATGAAAATAAATAAATGATTTCTTTTGTTTGACTGAAGCCCAGAACACCGGCTGCAGCCGACTTCATGCTCCGCCGGCCGTCACTTCATTTCCTGCCCGGGGTTCAGCTGCAACGTGAGAAAATAATAAAACGGGACGTGCGGCGCCGCGTTTTGGCACGAGATGAAAGCTCGCCAGGGGAGGAGGAGGGGGGTTAAATCATCCATCAGCAGTGCACCGCTCAGGGACTTGTATCCCTAAAGAAACCCTTCAGAGTAAAAGACTAAAACCTCAGCGTTCTGCGTTACCATGGCGACTGATTACAGACTTCCATTAATGAGAGCAGTTTCCTGAAAGCCAAAATAATAATAATGATAATAATAAAAAAGGAAACAAAACCTCCACCCTGCTGTCCCGTCTGATTCTCCGTTAGCCAAACTCCCATTCACTTCCAACGAGGAGCGCTAACGACGCTAACGATGCTAATTAGCTTTTTATAAAAGCTGAGACTAAATGTTTCCTGAAGAGAAGAAGAAGCTCTGATCCTATGTTTGTGCGTCGGGGGGTGATGATGATGATGGAGACTCTGTGTGTGTGTGTGTGTGTGTGTGTGTGACGGTCCTGCTGAACCAAACTCCGTTCAGAATCCGTCTGATTTAAGGAGCAGCTGCAGTCGCTCACAGACTCATGGAGTCGAACATCTCTGTGGCGTCCTGCACGATTCTGTCGACTTTAAGAAACAAACTCTGAACGTTCAGCCGTTGTCACGTCGTTCTGTCCGCATGTTGGTTGCAGGTCTACGGTGGAGGTGAATCTTGTTTCGGTGCGAGTGGGTCCAGGTGAGGCTCAGCTCCAGGTGCGTCGGCTCTACTGCTGATCTTTGAAGGCCTCCAGGTCGAAGGCCGTGTCCAGGAAGCGCCGCAGCTCCATCATGTGAGTTTTCTTGTTTCCCGTTGCCGGCGCCGCAGCCGGATCTCTGCCGGCGTACCTGAGGCACAGAGAGGTCAGAGGTCGTGAGCCCGAGCCGCCACCCATCAGAACCTGCTGCTGAGGACGACGGCGCTTACCCGACGGGCTTGGCCTTGTTGATGGTGGTCCGGATTCGAGGCTTCACGTAGTCGTAGTAACCCTGGTTCTTGTGCTCCTCCTGACACCACACCAGGTCCGCGTTGGGGAACCGCTCAAACTCCGCCCTCACCTGGTCGAAGGGGAACGGAGAGAGCTGCGGGGAGAGACGAGACGACGTCACCGACCTGCTGCATCATCAGGGCCACAGTTTTCAGCCTCGTTTGTTAGCAAAATATCTTCTGAACCCCAGGGTGGATTAAATGAAACCGCCACTCGCCTACAACCGACTCACCTGTAGCGTCAACAAGAATCAAGATGGCCGCCACAGCAACCTGAGAGAACTCAAGGATGGCTCCAACATCTCGTGTTGGACACTGTGTGGTAGTAGCTGAGGGTCATCCTCAGCACCAGCTCTGATGGAAACGAGCTGAACGTTCATCAACTCAAAGATCTGAAGCTCAGACCTGAACCGTCTCACCAGAACCAGAGTCGGGCTCAGAGATCCTCAGCTGGGTCGGGTCTGCAGCTCAAGCTCCAGGTCCAGGTTCTGTTTTGATCTAGTTGGACTTGAGGAAAGTTTCTGCCGAGCTTCAGCCGTAGAACAACGTGTTGGGTCCAGAAGCCGGACCAGTAGAGACCTGCAGCTCCAGATTTAAGACCCAGCAGTCCTCAAAGTGCTGCATCTCGCCCGCTGAAACTCTGAACCCCGTGGAGCTCAGAGCACGTGCTGCGAGCGACTGTCAGCTACTACCACACCGAGTCTTAGCTCCATAACATTAGCTGTGGCGGCCATCTTGAGTTGGATCAACTCCAAACGTCCAATGATCATTTCACGAAAGCTCGATTAAAAAGCATCCTGGGGTTCTGAGATATTTTGCTAACAGACACAAACACAGAGGAAGTGGGCAATGATGAGGTTTCTGTTCTCATCAGTGGAGCATGTTTCCAGGTAAGATGATGGCACACCTGGCTGGATCACAGTTACCTGTGTGTGTGTGTGTGTGTGTGTGTGTGT